AGGTTGTCCTGGTTGGTTGGGATATCCTGGTTGTTGTGGTTGTCCTGGCTGTCCTGTTTGTCCCGGCTGCCCTGGTTGACCAGGTTGTCCTGGTTGATTTGCATTTGCACATTTACCGTTTACTGTCCACGCATGGTTACAAGATAAAATGGTTTGATCCCAAACAGTTCCTGGGCCACAAGTGTACTCATATTTTTGTAAACCACCTTGGCCATTGCCGACACATCTGTAGAATTTTAAACAGTCATTTTCATCACCGACAAAACCTTCTTTTGCACAATCATTTCCACTTAATTGTCCTTGCTGTCCTTGTTCACTTGGTTGTCCTGGCTGTCCAGGTTGCCCTGCTTGACCCGATTGCTCTGGTTGATTAGGTTGTCCTGGTTGATTGGGATACCCCGGTTGTTGTGGTTGACCAGGCTGTCCTGGTTGACCTGGTTGATTGGGATATCCTGGTTGCTGTGGTTGTCCTTGTTGTCCTGTATGACCAGGTTGTCCTGGTTGGTTAGGATACCCCGGTTTTTGTGGTTGTCCCGACTGACCTGGTTGGCCAGGTTGTCCTGGTTGACCTGGTTGATTGGGATATCCCGGTTGTTGTGGTTGTCCCTGCTGGCTTGGCTGACCAGGTTGTCCTGGTTGATTGGGATAGCCTGGTTGTTGTGTTTGACCGGGCTGTCCTGGTTGACCAGGCTGTCCTGGTTGACCTGGTTGATTGGGATATCCAGGTTGTTGTTGTTGTCCTGGTTGGCTTGGTTGAGGTTGGTTTGCATTTGCACATTTACCATTTACTGCCCACGCATGATTACAAGATAATATGGTTTGGTCCCATACGGTTCCTGGACCACAAGTGTACTCATATTTTTGTAAACCACCTTGGCCATTGCTGACACATCGGTAAAATTTAGAACAGTCTTTTTCATCACCAACAAAACCTTCTTTTGCACAATTTGTTCCACTTATTTGTCCTTGTTGACCAGGAATTTGTTGCTCTGTATGGCCTGATTGACCAGGTTGAATTGGCTGGCTAGATTGTCCAGGTTGTTGTGGTTTCTCTGGTTGTCCTGGGTATCCAGGTTGTTGTGGTTGACCTGGCTGTGCTGGGTGACCTGGTTGACCAGGTTGTCCTGGTTGGTTGGGATATCCTGGTTGTTGTGGTTGTCCCGGCTGTCCTGGTTGACCGGGCTGTCCTGGTTGGTTGGGATACCCTGGTTGTTGTGTTTGTCCTTGTTGCCCTGGTTGGCCAGGCTGTCCGGGATGACCAGTTTGCTGAGGCTGACTTGGTTTTCCTTGTTGTCCGGAATCAGATGTGGAGCATTTTCCACTTACAGCTGAAGGATAATTACAAGACAATATCTTTTCATCCCAAACTGTTCCTTCACCACAGGTAAATTCATATTTAGTAAAACTATTTTTGCCATCATTTACACATCTATAGAACTTTTTACAGTCATTATCATCTTTTACAAAACCTTCAGATACGCATTTGTTATTGGCAATTTGACCTTGTTGAACCTGTTGATTTGATTGATTATTTCCTTGTTGGCTTGAACCTTGCTGATTTGTGCCTTGTTGACTAGAACCTTGTTGACTTGTTCCTTGTTGGTTTTGTTGACTAGATGAACTGCTTCCTTGTTGATTTTGTTGATTAGATTGATTATTGCCTTGTTGAGTGGAAGAACTACCACCTTGTTGATTGTGTTGATTGGAAGAACTACTTCCTTGTTGATTTGAAGTGCTTCCGTTTTGTTGATTTGACGTACTACCGGTTTGTTGGTTTTGTTGATTGGAAGAGCTGCTGCCTTGCTGGTTTGAAGAACTACCACCATGTTGTTGGTTTTGTTGATTCCAAGAATTATTTCCTTGTTGATTTTGATTTTGCTGACTGGATGATGTACTGCCTTGTTGATTAGAACTACTCCCTTGTTGATTCCAAGAATTATTTCCTTGTTGATTTTGGTTTTGTTGACTGGACGATGTACCACCTTGTTGATTAGAAAAACTGCCTCCTTGTTGATTCCAAGAATTATTTCCTTGTTGATTTTGATTTTGTTGATTGGACAATGTAGTGCCTTGCTGAGTGGAAGAGCTACCCCCTTGTTGATTCCAAGAATTGTTTCCTTGATTTTGTTGGCTGGACTGATTAGAAGAACTGCCCCCTTGTTGATTCCATGAATTACTACCTTGTTGATTTTGGTTGTGTTGACTGGATGATGAACTGCCCCCTTGTTGATTTTGGTGTTGTTGGCTGGATGATGAACTTCCACCTTGTTGATTTTGATTTTGTTGACTGGATGATGAACTGCCACCTTGATGATTTTGGTTTTGTTGGCTGGATGATGAACTGCCTCCTTGTTGATTGGAGGAACTGCTTCCTTGATTTTGTTGATTTGAGCTACTGCTTTGACTGTTCGAACTTCCTTGTTGACTGGAAGAGCTACCACTTTGTTGACCAGACGAGCTGCCACTTTGTTGTTGATTGGAAGAACCATTAGTTTGTTGATTTTGGCTGCCTGAAGAGCTTCCTTGTTGATGTGAGCCTTGTTGATTGAAATTAGTACTTGATGAACTTCCTTGTTGCTGATTTGAACTACCGTTTGACGAGCTGCCTCCTTGTTGGTTCCAACTGCCGCTCGATGAACTTCCTTGTTGGCTAGAACTACTTTGATTGGAATTATTACTACTTCCTTGTTGACTTTGCTGATTTGACGAGCCACTCTGTTGACTATTTGAACTGCTTCCCTGTTGACCTGAGGAAGCAGCATTTTGTTGATTTTGCCAAGAACTGGTACTTGACATAGTAGAGGAAGACGACGAAGAACTAGATTGATTCCAGGAACTACTCGAACTGCTACTGCTACTACTACTGCTATTGCTACTACTACTCATAGAAGACTGACTACTGCTAGATTGGTTATAGTTTTGGGCTACATAATCACTCTGTGGAGGCAGTGCGGAAAAACTTTGACTAGTACCTTCCGAACAGTCACTTCTCTGAGCTGCCCATGGATAATTACAAGACACAGCTACTGGATCCCAAACAGTTCCAGTACCGCAATTAAATTCATGCTGGATATAACCATTGCGTCCATTACTGACACAACGGTAAAATTTCGAACAGTTTCTGCTATAGCCCAAGAAGCCTTCTTGCATACATTTGTCACCAACTTGACTAGAAATTGTTGCGGGAGTCGAATCTGATTGGGTTGTCCATGGTGGTAACGAAGTTGTGGTTGAAGGTGGAGGATTCTGAACGTTTCCAAAATCACCATCAATGCCATTTCCTCCACACTCTTCCCTATTACTGGCATACGGGTAATTGCAAGTACTTATAGCCGGATCAAAAACAGTCCCTTCACCACACTCAAACTGAATCGGCGCTAGATTATTAGGAGTGCCAACACATCGGTAGAAAATTCGGCAGTTTTGAGGATCGGCATGAAACCCTTCACTGGGACATCTGAAGTTCGATTTATATTGAGTTTGGCGTGCTTCTCTTGATAACTCTCGAACAGAGTGAGCTATAAATAAACAAACGAAATCAATGAAGCGATTTAAAAACCAGTTGCATATAATTAAGAGGTTTTTGACCAGGGCCCTCGCTTACTTCATTATCACACTTATCCTAATGAAATATTTTAGCAAGGCATAGTAAACCCGATAATTTTTCTTTGGAATAAAGAGATAACGAAAAGTTTGTACATGGCTGCAAGCAGATGTAGTTGCATGTTTGTTCGTCACCGGGCTCTATAAATTACAACGCAAACAACGAGTTCTGGTCTATGCTAGCTGTCCCATTGTAGCTGTGCACGAGTATGAGTTATGGAAAATCGTTGTCGTATTTATGACCTCCGAACAGAATCCAATACAAAACCATGTAAATATGTAAATCGTGAACATTAGCTTGGTGTAAATCGTTCATTTAATTAAAGATAAGTTGTGATAAATCACCACGACTCATTACATATTTCACGTTTATTTCTTGTTTAAATTTGCGATTTTGTGTGCTTTTGCGAATTATCGCCATCCTCATGTCCCGTTATGGGTTTCCCGACCGGCCGACAGCAGCAGCAACATTAAGGATTCCAGTATCAAGGATAATGGTTTCTACTATTTATAGGAATATCTCAAATGCGATTGTAAGTGCCGAGACGCAACAAAAAGAGGATCTAGCGACAAGCAAAAGCTTTTCGTCGCGTTTAATTAATTCGAATCTTGATTGTACATGAAAGGCTTTATTATTTAGACACGCCCAAGCGTGTGATTAATGGATGTGTTTCAATTGTTTTGGGATAAATTACCATCCTTCAATTTTGAAAGGTTTAGATTAGACGTTTTTTTTTCGAAAGGTTGCGTTTATGAATGGTTCAATAGACTTCATTGTACAGCCTTACCAAGGTTACGCTTACGGTGTGTTAGACAAGTTTGTTATGATAGTGTCTAGTTTAAATTAATATCTTTCTAAGCGAGTTGTTCGACAAGATCTATTAATAGATATTGTTGTCTTTGATCATTGTTCTTTTAATCTGGTGCAGGCAAGGAAAATGGTGTGTCATCTCGGTAGCACCATGACATTCAGAAATATATTTCATAATCGAATATCAATGTGTAAAACCATAATTTTTTTCAACAAATTTTTGTATATTTTTGTGAGGATCATAAACATGCTTGACGTTTTAACAATGTACATTTTGGTAATAGCCTGAAGACGGTTTTATTCCAACATGCGACTATTAGCTATTTTATTACGATTTTTACGAAGAGATGATAGGGTAATTGCAGATAAAAAAATTGATTAGCATAACAATTACTACCGAAGGTAGGTATTTCTTACACGAAATATCTGTCAGAGAAGATTATAATGTTTCATTACCTGTATTTCAAGACAGTTAAAAATCTTGTTTTCGACTTTTGTTTCTTTAGCACAGCTTCTTCGTGTCAGATTCAGTAGATGGATAAGCATTATAGGACTATTATTAACATTCATTATTTTGTTTCGTGAATTTATGATGAACCTACTTGTTTTTGTTTTGTAATTAATTATTCGTCAGTTTCGAAAATAAAATTAATTGCTGTATCATATTTTAGCTTATCAGAGTTTAATTGCAGTTGCTTTGTATTTGTGATATTGCCTACTAAATGTTTGGAAGATGTTGTAACATTAGTTTTGCTTAAAAAAAATTATAAATATTTTTGTCCCGATATTCTACATACAAATAATTATTGAAAGTGAAAGTTTCAAAGATAATTGAAATATTTTCAATTACACAGGTTTCCTAGCTAAGAACACTTATTTTTTTCATGAATTATTAATGTACATATAGAAATTGATTCTTTGAATTTTAGACCTGTAATCTTGCTATTTAAAAAAAATATTATTAAAAAGATTTAAAGAAAATATATGTATTTAAACCAAAAAGTTTACATTGGAAAATTCCAAAATCGTAAATCTAAGAGAAATGAAAGCTTTCAGAAAGCTCGACTTAAACAAAGTTTTTATTAATTTTTTCATGAAAAATATTTTATAATGTGTTATTTTTGGCACATCATTAATATGAAAATTTGCATTGCAATACCATTTTAGGTCCCGTTATAGCCGTAAAAACCGGCCCTAAATAATAAAAATAATTTATTAGCGGTGACACTTGGTAACTGCAAACATTTACAGTTTAATCATAAAAAAATAACTGTATTTTATTAGAAAAATATGTAAACAAAAAACAAATTAATTAATCCAATTTACGCAATTTTATTTAATTATTAATACATAATCGATGGAATTCTTACAATAATCATCCATCATGCACGTTATTAATTGATTCAGCGCTGTAGACGCCGTTTCTTATGTTAATTATTTTATAATAAAGTGTGTAGACGAAAACGATAAAATAAAAACAACCGTTTTAGATATATAAATTGATTTATCTTATGTTGCAAGAAAAATACCTTGAAGCAGTGACACCGACGCCAGACACAAGACCAACGTCCACAAAGTCTTCATTGTTCTTGAGAATCCCCTAATTGGAACTCGTTCGGATCATCTGAAACACAATTACAGCAGCAATTACAAAGCGTGTATGTTACTCGTGTCGAAAATGATGAGTCGATGAACTCTGATGGCAAAACAAGTTCCATTTTTCCAAGTTCTGAAAAATCCGCGTTAATTAACAGCTCGTTCCTGCCGTTAATCCAGCCGTTCTAATGAATTGTTACATTTTTGACGTAATGCGATTACTCCCCGATCATTTCTTAATACTTCGATCTTGTTATTAAAAGCTCCATTGCAAATTTCTTTTATTTCTCGCGAACGGGTTTTCGAGTGATTAATTTCCGTACCATGATGGTACAGAATCGACAATCGTGTGGTAAACAAGCCATAATTTCGCTCTAACCCAAAATACGTTTGGTGAATTTTAAAACGAGATTAAGATCGGCATTGGCCTCTCCATCGACCGCTATTTGAAGACCTGACTTTAAATATTCAAATATGCGAATCTTTTTTATGGGAACAATTATATGGCACACCCCGGTAACTGTTACCATTATTTGCGTCATTGCGCATTTTTTGCGGCTAAGCTCGGAAAATGCGGGTCAAGAAAATATGTAATAGCCAATGGCACTGCTTTTTTTCTTTTTACAAAAATATTGTAACAAAATGTCTTAATTGGGATAGAAATTGAAAGTATTTTTTTTGAAATTGATTTGACTGAATTTGGTTTAATTTAAATTTATTTATGCAAAATGTAGTTTATTATGCAATTTTTCAAATTAACTTATTAGGTGTGAATAATGAGAATGATTAATGGCACTTTATAAACAACACTTTAGCCGTGTAATGCGTATCATTAAGAATTTCAAAAAACGTTAATAGATGAGGTACAAAGTAGAGAGATGAAATAACAATCAAAATATAATAAAAAAATTCAAGTGGTTTATAATTATCTGAAATTAAAATAAATCTGCCGAAATCACAATTAAAAAACGTGACGTCCTGCATTTTTTCAATGGCCTTGGGTTGTAATAAAAATATAAATGACGGCAAATCCGACAACCCCCAATTTGGACTTGGACCCTCAGTGCCCGAAGGGTAACCATCAAGGCTAGACAAAAAATCGATTATTTAATTAAATTCAAGCAGTGTTGCCGGCTTTGCTCATATTTATTGGACAATTTTTCGTCTAATTGGCCTCGAGACTAGTCCGGCCTGCCGCATTTTCCAAACAATACCAACGCGAAGATTTAAGATCTAGTTTTTTGCCATCGAAGCTGTTCTACCAGTACGTCGAGAAAAATGTGCCCATAGACAATTACGGTTTGAGATAAAAACAAACTCAAGCACGGATCAAGTTCTCTTAATCCGCTTGTAAATCATCCGTAAATCCCTAATTGAATTTTAGCATCGCGCTGAAAAAACCTGCCGCGGTTTTGCAATTAATTTGAATGAGCTTAAAGAATTAGATAAGAGGGCGTAATCAAAAGGTGATTTTATTGGACGAGTTTGCGGTTTACAAGGAAGGCGCCGGCCTTCAGATGCATCTTTGGGTTCGTTTAACTCGAGTGACTAACATTTGGCGAATTTTACACAAATTTAAATAAAAACGGAAGATCTTTGTACAACCTGTGGTGACGTCCTTGCAACGGTTTCAGTAATGCTAACTGCAAGTTATGAATACGAAAATATACAGAAGAGGCGTCCTGCCATCAGAATTTTTGAACGATGATGCGGAAGTTTTACGCTCAAAATAGACAAATGAGATTTTAATGATGTTATGCCAAAATCATAAGCCTAACAAGATTTAAACTCTAAAAAAGCTAACTCTTCTGAAAAAATAATAAAATAAATTGCGTGTTTACCTAACAGCAAATTCAGGCTTTAACTTTTCTTGACATAAAATGAGAAACTTTGAATTAGTAAAATAAAAATAATCGTTATGAAAAAATCAGATTTGAATAGCAGCAGCACAAAATTAAAAAAAAATAAACCATCAAGCTTTATTATACCTTTTTTTGAAAAATTAAATGGACATTTACAATTAAGTATGTTCACTTAATTATCCTGCAGGATATCTACGTGAATTTTGTACTTGAAATATTTTTCCCAGAATTAATCTACTTAACAATATTTTGAAATAGTCCCTGGTTCTAAAAATTTTTGTGAAATAAAAATGTACAAAAAACAAAATATACCTTTTTTAAATCTGATGCTTTTTTACTTTCAAAAGCAGTATAAAAAACACTTTTCTACAGTGAAAATTAATTTTTTTGTACTCAAAAGAGTGCTTTTATCAACTAATTTCAGAAGATAAAGTGGTCTTTTATCGTCTAGTGAAATAAAGTAATTTTTATCTATTATTTATATTTTATCAACTAATTTCAGTAGATAAAGTAGTCTTTTATCGTCTTGTGAAATAAAGTAATTTTTATCTACTGTTTATATTCAAGAAATTCTGGTAGGTGAGTACAAAATCTACTCGTGAAAAAAGTGCACTCGTGACTTCGTCACTCGTAAACTTAACCTTTTCACTCGTAGATAAACAATTTCTTTATCGTCTTGTATAATAAATAACTAATTTTATTACACCCTTGTAAAAATTAAAATTTTTGTAAAAAATGAGAATGTGTTAAGAAATTTTCTGTACAATTATCCTGTTTCATTTTTCAAAGTAGTAAGTGAAGCAATAGTAGATAAGACAAGAAACAAAAGTTAAAAAAATAAATAAAATGATGAGCTTACCTCCTGGAAAGCGATGATTTTCGGTGGCGCTCCTTCACAGTCCTTGTGGCTGAATTATCCTTCGGGTGGTTGTGTGTAAATCTCACACGTGCTCCAGATTCCGCGAGTTTTAAGATGTCACAGCACGTTTAGTACTCGCTTATTTCAGGTGGTCGCAATACTTATAGGCGCCCCCTCCAGATTGCCCGTGTCAGTATTCGCATTTCTGAAGATGATCACCATCGAAGATGTGTAAAAAACACACGCACACAAAGCCGGATTTATCGTCATTTAGGCTTTGATTTAATCAAATTTGCAATTCTAGAATTGAACAATAAATTCAGATTATTGATTGTAAGAAGGGGTCATCAATTCGCTTCTGACATAACGACTTCCTTTTACATGCAGAACTCGACTTGGTGTATCCCTAATTGTAAAAAATTAAATCGGGTGGCGTTTAAATCACCATTATTAAGATGCATGGAGAAGTCACTTAACCATCACCTGCATAAGCGCTACTTAATGAGACGCCACGGCAACAATTGAATATGATTGTTTTGTTATGTTTAAGTGTAATTACAGTGCTTGGTTTGATAACTTAATTCTGGTTATTTCACACACGAGAGAATAAATCAAAATCCAGTTTTTTGCTGAAAATTCGATTTTCTTCTAGCTGATATGCAAATCCACTGCTTGGATCACCAGTACAGTTACTAAATTTACATTTAAATGATTTTCGGTCATCTGAAATTCTTTTTTTACTAAACTAGGTATAAGTTTACTTTCTTATTTCGTCCTCATTATAAATGCAGACGAGCATCGATATGTATATGGTTGTAATAAGTATGGTTGCATGAAAGTAAAACGTGTTGAGCTCCTTGGCCACAAGGGGGGCCGATTGGATACGGCGCTGGCTTGGGGTCATTAAAAAAAGTCGATTTGTGAGGTATGAACTTGAGCAAAGAATTTTCGCGTCACATTTTATCTTGTCAGTCAAGAGGGCTTTATATAAGAGTTGTTTATGTTCATATAAATTGAATCAAGGGACAAGCGAAACAGAATTACAAACATCAGAGATTTTGGTGGTGATGTAAGTGCACAAATTAATTTAATAATTAGTTATTTGTTTATAAATAAAAACAGTGATGACAGTGTAGCACAGGAATTTTTCGTAGATTTTGAATTTGTAAACTCATGGAATCAAATGATTTTGTTAGTGACGAAATGAATTACGCACGATTTAATTGCGTAATCACCAAATTAAGTATTTAGAGTTGAACAATTGATATGTGGACTCTTACTTCTTTCTATCTCTAGATCAAGATTATGGATTTCACCATGTCATGGTTCTCAAATCTGTTATAACAGGGGTCCAACTTGTAATTAATAATTACGGCCAAATCATTTGTCAACGCTTGTCAGACGAAAACTGAAACGAGCTTTAATATGAAAAAGAAGGGTTAATAAAAAGAAAACAATTACTAGGACTTGACTTCTAAAATATACTGCGAGCTGCTTAATAGCAATTTCACTAACGACAGCGCTAGTGTTAAAAACTCTTTGCTCTTATCACATTTTTTATTTAACAGATTTTTAAATTTTTAGAAATTTTCAGCATTTTGTTTTTTTTTAGTGCAAATGTACACACTAATAAATTAAATTTATAGACTTGCAAGTAAAAAGATATCATAAAAATAATGACATTAAAAAAACCAAGACCTTTTGTTTTTAATTATTTGGACTTTTGTGTGTTTAAAGAAAAACATCTATTCCAAACGTTAATCTAATGTAGCATTATTTGTGAAAATATGAGGATTAAAAAAGTCTTATGTGCACAATAGAATTGTTAAATTGATTACTAATATCATATAAATGTGATGTATTTACTTGTTTTTTATTAGATAGAGCGAATTAAAGTTTTCTAAAAAATTGGCTTTATAGTTTGCTGATAGGGTTTTTTTTACATTTTTTTTTTCAAAAATTGGATGAAAAATAAATAAGAATGCTTTTTATGATAATGCTGACATTAGGCTATGATATCTTTTATTCGTGTTTTGCTACTTTAGTTTTCTTATTCTTGGTGAGTTTTCTTGTTTTCTTTCTGAATTTTCTAATTTTTAGATAATGTGTTCCAGACTTCCAGACGTTTTTTACTGACAAATTTGTGTTCAGGTGTTTGTTAACAAACTAGAAAAACAGAAAAACATTGTTCAGTTATGAACTTGTGATAACTTTATATTATTATTATTATCATTTTTAATAGAGAGGTAGTGAAAGAATAACAATAAAATATTTCGTGTTTTATTTAATAACAAGACGTTCAGCCGTTTAACTTAAAATGTTTTACTAGAAAATTATTTTAAACTCACTTCTACAGTCTTGGTTTAGCAATCAATATACTGATTATCACTTAAAATATTGCTACAGGATTTGTAAGTTGTGCTATAAGCAGGAGTTATGCTAAGCAATTCTTGATACTATGAATACCGATTAAATTGAGAAAATGGCAAAAGTAGATGTGAATAATTTTGGGGAACAAAAACCTATATAGTACTTGTTTCAGAGTCAATGGAAAAGAATCCTAAATTGAAAAATTTACAGTTATTTAGAGATAAGCTTCATGAATAAAGGATACATTGCGATTAAATTAAATGATCTCTCGTTCCAACAACTTTTATTCTTAGTTGTTAGTTTTCTAACATTTTGTATTGCTTAGAAAAAAATTGTTTACCAGTTTCGTTGCAGTTGTAGTAGACGTAATAAGCAAATATTAGGTAGTACATGCTAATGTTGGAGCAGATTGTCAATTTTTGAAACAAGTTTCCTGTCGGCATTAAACTAAGCAAATATTTGCTCAAATAGTTGCTTGTTAATAGCCAAGCATCCATTTTATGATCACTAGGTTTAATTTTTTATACCTACAATTTTCTCAAGTGCATTTACATACTCGTACAACTAAAATACTGAAATTTTTTTTGTTTGTTTTTCTTATCGGATTCGTAATGATCCAAAATTAATTTCTTTATCCTAATATTAATCAGAAATGGGGAAACTTCAGTACAAGGAAAAGCTGAAAACATCTAATTCGGATCAGTCACCCACCTCAATGCCACTGAGGTAATTGGTAAAATCACCAGTGATGAGCACTGATTCACTATGGTTTCTCTAGAGGAACAATAAATAACAGCAAATCACCAGACCAGAATTTATTCAATTCCTGAAATTTCTAATACGTCAGAGTACTCTTGAAGTTATATATTATAATATCATAAAGATATTTATTTTATTCATATAAGTACGACGAAAAAACTCGAACAAATAGCCTGAATTTGTAAGATTTATATCAGTACACAGAACTGCAAAAATATCTTTGTTCATCCTTCCATAACACGTTTTTTGTCAGGATATGTAATTCGAGACCTGATAGAATCTAGGTTGGATAATTAAACGACTCTTGTAAAACTATTAAGCCTTTGGCACAGTCAAAACTAGTCCAACGCCTCTGTACACCTCCGTTTTTATCATAATTTAATCTATCAACAACATAATTCTCTTTTGGAAAAATGGTTTCATGAATTAACGGTCCGCAAAAAACCTAGTAAAAATATTTTAGGTGTATCAAGGTTGTGCCCTCAACCTTCGCAAACCTATGCGCTAATTGTTGCAACCACAACTCATTTTTCATTGTTTACTTTCCAAATCGGAGTTTAACCGCGTCCCAAATTTTCGCAAATTTAAACTCGTCATAAAAACGATTAAATGACTGTCTGGTAAGTAATCGATTTCCTTGATTTATGGTCGAATTAGTTTGGCAAATTGGCCACCTAAATAATTGGCAAACAAGTGTTTTTATGACTACTCGATTAGCAAACTGTATCAGATTTATAGCTAGTTGAGTCATCATCGTAAATCAGTGGTCCTGCTTGGCCATCCCTGTTTACCCTCCAACACGACTTTGCAATAAGCGTAAAGTTTTTCGGAATGTCAGTAAATTTGCATAAAATTCAATGTAGGACAGATACAATCGATTATTAGTAAATAACAATAACCGTTAAACAGACACAATAAATTCCACAAGTGTTATGCACCCACCCGTGGTATGTAAAACCCAAGAAAAAATAATCTAACTTATGTGACACTCTAACTGTATTTTGTGACATCAAGGAGGAAAAACCTGATGTAAACTTAACTTCTACTGCATCCTCATGTAAATTTATCAAGGTGCAACATGGGGTCTAGCACGCAAGGATTAAGTCTTCCCTAGATAGGTATCACACCCGACTTGTGAATTATTTATTGTAAATAATTTATGCACCTTGAAGGCGTTAAAGCGAAACACAATTAAACCAATTGTTCAAAGCTGAATTTCTTGGGAGAATCAAGGATTTTTTCCGAAAAAATTCGCCGGAAATGACGAGTTTTACGATATCTGATCAAAAATACCACCAAAGTCTCACTACATTAACTCGTCTTGTTAACAAGGCGTAATTATTTTTAATTTAAGGACAAAGGTAATTGCTCCACGAAATTCCTGCACGTTTTGAAGCAAATCCTGCGGAGACTTCAACGCCGGGTCAGGACACATTTAGCCTTGATTAAGTCAAGTTTACGACTTATGCAATGAATAAAAGTGAAATTGATCACGTAACCTATCAATTACAAGAGCCTTGCACTTGAACTCAATTCGGGCTTTCTCTTATAACTTCCTCTTTGAAGATGTGATGAAGACATTTTTGCGTTGTAGTAACAAGTGTTTATGCGTAAGTGATGATCGGGTAACCTTGATACGGGAGACTGTTGCTTGTGGGAAAGTAGTGTAAAGTGCGATAAATCAAGTGACACTTTAGTTAAGTGCAGAAGAAGTTAAACGATGAAACACGAGTGTAGACAAGAATGCCGTATCTGAAAATAAAAAGCAACTGTGATATTTTTAAATAGGGAGTTTAAATTCTTAATTATTATGATACTTGTAGGTGAATAGTATCACGGTTTTTTGATATCGAGAGATGAATAAAAATGAATTACTCCTTATTTAAACGTTGTAAGAAAATGTTTGTTTCAGGATTCACCTGACTTTCAAGAAGGAACAACTATTTGCGACTATGAAATGTGCGCGATTTTTTAGTTTAAATTCCTATACATTAGTCTTAAAATAAAACG